GTGCCATCAGTCACTCCCTTTAGCATATGGAAACCATATATAAAACCTACTTTTTTTATAAGTTGCATCATACACCACTTTGGCTTCTGATGTTTAACACTCTTAGAGAAAGTACATTATTTTCAGTGACAGTGGAAGTTCACAGTAGAAGAAATGCAAACAGCTTCCTGTACTTATGTTATCATGAAGAAGATTATCATGTAGCTGCTGAGTGAAGTTTCTTTCCTACTTCAAATGGCAAACTTGCAAAACTTCAAAGCAATCTGCACAATGTGCTGGTCTTCAAACAAAAGAACACTTATATAAATGGGCCACAGAAAATATTATATGAATTACATTCTTCTAAGTAATGCAGAAAGAAATCAAAGTACACGTTTTTTAGCCTAACAGATGGGCTGTGGTTTGCTGGTATATAAAGCGAAAATCAATTTGTGGAAATCAGAGCTGAAGTTATATATGTTTGTTGTCATGACATGTGACAGCTAGTCCAGATGTCAGATAATCCAGATCAAAATATTAAAAATGCTGTTCACAGTTGGGTACATACTTGAAAAGACACATGACATTTAGGAAGGCAGATGAGTCACTTGTCTGTTCAGACAAAACTTGACAGTTTCTTCAAACTTGTATTATTATGTTCAAAAACAAATAAAACTTCTGAGTCTTCCATTGATGAATAAATGTACTGTCTTTTTATGGTTTTTAAATAAAGGCTCTTCAGTGATATTTTTTTATTTATTTTCATCAGCACTATTTATATCATTTATTTGTGTTCTAGTTTTTTTTAGGACTACCTTTTGCTTCATTAATCTGGATTATCACTTAATCCAGTTGACCTCTCCCCACAATTAATACAGATTTGCAAGGGTTTACTGTACTTTAAAACTGCTACCTTAAATGTCATTCCAAATTTATCTTTCATAATAATTATATCACTTGATAATTTATAAGCATTGCAGTTGATAAGAAGTTCTTAAATAATACTCAAAACCACCATCTGAAAAATTATAAGACACATACAATACCAGAAGTCGAAACATATGTGGAGTCAATTTTGTAAAACAATGACATCTTCACAGACATCGTAACCATCTCATCCCTCCTGATTTATGTATATTGCATGCAGCCAGTCTCAAGAATACTACCAATTCAAAGTAGCAATGGAAGGGGGGACCAGATTGCAGTGTTGTTGCATCTATTCCAAAAACATTCACTATCTGCTAGCCCTACCTAACACTCCAGCCATTCTCGTTGGCAGACAACATGAATTCAAGTCTGACGGCTTACATATGTCGGTCAGAATTTTAAGATCTATGTTAAAGGACGCAAAAGATTTACATCCAGGCAAAGGTGATATTTTCAAACATGAGAATGGAGTCTGTAATAGCAGACAATAAAATAAGATGACTGGTCTATGTAAGTAAAAGAATCTACTGCATGTTTAACAAGTTGATTTTTTGAGCCAGAACACTATGTGGGGAAGTCATAAAATTTTAATTATCACCCAGAAGAAACAGAGACACAGCTGCCAGAAACTGTATGTGAGTTAGTCCTTCTCTACTATGCCCCCTGGAAGGCCACACATTTTCCCCAACGATGCATTAGCTTCTGGATACCTTGATCATAGAAGGTCTCATTTTGACTATCTAAGAAGTCCTCCACTGCAGAAATGACTTTATCATCATCATCTTGGAATTGCTTACCATGAAGTGGCTTCTTTAGCCATGGAAAGAGGAAGAAGTCACTCTGTGCCAGTTCTGGTGAATATGGTGGATGGGGGAGAATTTCATATCCCAAACTGGCAGCAAGTGTCATCATAGCATGAGCAGCATGAGCCAGCGCATTGTCGTGAAGAAGTCGCACACTTTTTCCAAGCATTCAACATCACCTTTTCTTGATTTCCTCCAATAATTTTCTAAGAAGGTTCCAGTAGTATTCGCCAGTGATGGTGACGCCATTTTGCGTGTAGTTGGTCATGATAACACCCCGCTGATCCCAGAACATGCTCAACATGCTCACCTTTCCTGACGATGGCTGGGATTTGGCCTTCTTTGGTGGTGGCGAGTCTGCATGTTTCCACTGCTTGCTCATTTCCTTGGTTTCAGGGTCATAATGATAGATATAATGATCAGGCAGTCAAAAAGTTCCACCTTTTCATCTTGACACATCTGCAAAAATTTTCTTTGCCACATCCATCCATTGCTGTTTTTGAACTGGTGTCAACAATCGTGGCACCCAATGTGCCTTTGTCATGTGTAGCTTGTCATGGATGATGTTGAAAACTGGCCCATGGCTAATGCAGAATTCATGAACAATAGCTTTGATAGTTATGTGCCTATCGATAGAATCAAAGTTTCCACTTGTTCCACAATTCTCGGTTCCTCACTGAGAGATGGTCTTCCACTTCCAGTTAATCTTCAAGGATTTTTTTTTAGTCCAACTGGGTCAACTTGGCATGGCTGTCACTGAGTGGCCTATTGTAGCCTACCCCGGGTGATTATGATAATGGAGAATTTGGCAGAATGAGGCTTGGCAGGGGTAACCAAAGTACTAGGAGAAAACCCTCCGCAGTGCTACTTTGTCCACCACAAATCCCACTTCACCAGACCCAGGATCGAACCCGGGCCACCACGGTGGGAAGCCAGCAACTATTTTTTTATTGCTAGTGGGATTGGACTAAGTCCCTTGTACTGTGGCCACTTCTGGCCTATTGTACCAGACCCAGATGATAGGTGAGGGTGATTGTGGAGCAATTGGTGGAATGAAGATTGGCAGGGGAAACCGAAGTACTTGGAGAAGACCTGCCCCAGTGCCACTTTGTCCACCACAAATCCCACTTGACCAAAACCAGGATCAAACCCGGGCCACCGCAGTGGGAAGCCAGCAACTAACTGCTTGAGCTATGGCACAGCCCAAGCCAGCGACTAACCGCCTGAGCCATGGCGCAGCCCATCTTCGAGGTTTGTCTGTCCACAATGAAAGCGCCTCTTCTACTTGACCACTGTCATATGATGGTACACCTTCCTTATACACAGCAGTCATCCGTTCGTGGATCTCCCTGGCAGATTTCCCTTGAAAATGCAGGAACCGTATCACAGCACAAACCTCCACTTTCTCAACCGTCACCATTTTGCTTCTCCCCCTTCTGGTGGCTCCCTCTGTCCACTTCACATGGGAAAATGTGACTGTTAGGCAAGCTCAGGAAATGGGCTATCTCCTATATGGAATGATATTTTGGAATTATGATTTTCTCATGGTGATAATTAAAACATTATGACTTCCCACCGTATGGCACTCATGCTACCAAATTTGCCTTTAAGTAAAAAATTACACATCTGCTATTGCAGTGTAGTTTCAACCTTGAGGCTAAAACCTAGCATAAGAGTACTGGCAAATATGCTTTCACAAACAAAGCACTGTGTTAACATCACTGGAGTATCCCATAAGTTAATCAAGATTTTAAACACCCACAGGCAAATTTAGATTTTCTGCTTATGAGAACCATGCTGAATATCAAACCACGATCATTTTTGTTTGTGGTACAGGCCTCTACTTATGACTGTATCTACTTTCTTGACTTTTGCCTGCTCAGTCAATTGGAGGAATCCATTTATGAAGCCGAAGAAATATTTCGGACAAGTTCTGTTATGATGAGAATTATGACTATAACTTTGGTCGTATAACTATATATGCATGTCAGTAAACCTAGTATGTCAAAACATATGAGAGGAAATGAGGCTTTAACTACTGTATGTTGCAGAAATATCAGTTATTTTCTGCAAGTTACACTATAAATGAATAAAATGACAAATAAATTGAGAAAATGGGATTGTCAGTGCTTTTGGATTCAAAATTCACATAAACTGATGATGTGAAGAAATCAATAAATTATGAACTGTCATGAATTCATTCCAAAGTGCATTTCATCATCCTTGTTCTTAAACTGGGTTCCTCACCAAATTAAACTAAAAAGTGCAAAATATATTACAAACCATCACACATGTTTTACTGCAAAATGAAATAACTGATACATGTTGCATGCTTACTTTGTGCAACATTCACCTGTGAAGTATTATCCCTCATAAAACAGTGAAATTTTATCAAAACTGTTAAAATTATTATCAAGAAAATGGCTAATTTGCTATTTTATACAAATGATCCAAATGGAAATAAAATTGTGGTTGAAATACACAAACCCTTAAGGCGGTAGGTGGTAAGGGAGGGAGCAGACTGACAAAGGGTTCCACAGCATACCAAGATCGTCATACCAGACTCTGTAGTAACCCTTTGCTCCTATCAAAATTAAATGCAGCAAAATCAAAATGACCCTGTTCCTCTTAATGTAGCAAAACATACCAAAATATTTTAAAATTTAAACACCCAGAAAAACTTCGCTGACAGCGCCACAATAGTGCATTAATGAAACAGTGTTAAGAGTGCTTCTCTATTAACATGTTGAGACAAGATGTTTCCATAACAAGTAAACTCTTCTGTTGATATAACATAATGCCCCTTTTATATCTCCTTTCATATTATATTAAAAATAAAGTATTTCAATACAAGTAAATAAATGTGGGAAAACTGTAATAAAATCCATACTCTTTTCAACACACAACAGAATATACTACTGAATGTGACTAGACTGAACATGGTTCAAGTAATAAAAATGACAGTGTTTCAAATTAAAATCCTCTAGGACAAATGAAATGTTTGTCTTTCCCAGTGCAAACATCAGACATTTCTACTTCGAAATTCAGCTTACCTGATTACATAAAATAATAATCTAATTACATATTCACATCATAAGAACTGATACAGGTTCCATATCCCTGTAACAACATTATACTCAATCAACTTTATATTCCAGACTGGTGGAAGTATTAAAGACTGTTTTTGACCAAGTTATTATTTTAATTGACAAAGACATGATTTCACTGCAATATCTGGAAAGGTCTGAAATATTTCAATGCATTCAAACGAATTTAAATTTAAATTATTACCAGACTGCAAAGAATTATCTTCAAACTTTTTCAATGAAGTTGAGGCCTTCTCACTGCCTCCAAAGCCTGAAGATGAATTGGACTTCAAGGAAGATAAGTTCAACTCTTGGTATTTATCTTTGAAATCGTTTTCAGCAGCGTTCTCCGAACTACTTTCGTTCACATGTGCTGCCTTATTATGTGGCACTCGAACCAGCTTGGTCCTTCCTGACAGGGAAAGGCAAAGTTTCTTTCTTGGTGGAGTGCTGCTAGGCTCGCCCACTGCATTCTCTTTCAAAAGAACTGTCATCTTCTCTACACCTATTGCGGAAAATGATAATTAATGATAAGCATAATCTTAAATATTTCAATACTGATAGCAGAGTACTCATTCAGTCAACCTGGTCAAGGCCTTGCCCGATCTCCTTAGGCAAGCCTACCTTAAGAAATTAAGACAAGACTTACAATATTATCGCAAAATAAAGGCTTTATACACTCACGTATAATTCGAGTAAGAATTCATGGAAGTCACGTATTTTCTTAGAGTTCAAACTTAAATATCAGTCACAATTTTTTTTTCATCACAGATCATACCGGCCTTACACCCGACTACTTGGCGTCCTCCATTTTAATTTCAACCGTAGCCTTCTAAATCGTGAATTAAATCACATTTGTCTCCAAGCCTGACAATGTCTAAACAGAAAAGTTAACGCAGCAAGAAAATGGTAACGTCGTTAGATGGCGGGAAGATTTGTGTTTGTATAACTGAAGTTTACTGCCAAAGAAATAAAAGCCAAAAGTTAAAGTTCTAGAGTATTTACATTTTCATTGACATCGTGCACCAACTTCAATAGGTTTAGGAATGGCAACTGGAGGGTAAGAATATGCATTAGTACGTTATATAAAGCTATTTAATGTAATGATTTTGCATGTCAGGTTTTACAGCCCCTGGGTTTGGGCCCTTTTCCAGATAAATCCCTGACAATAGTAAACAAGGACTACGACGTTTCTGCAAGTCACTTTTAAAGGATGGTTTTAATTTTGAAGTTATATCAGTATTGCTTGAAAATTATATGTGATATAATTCTGTTAACATAATGGTCAGGAGTGGAGATACAATGTGTGACAGTCTCAACATTCATGGCCAGGGTAAAGGTTTTATATTTAATTATGGTTCCTTTATACATTCTTTGGTGTGTTTTCATAAGTGTATGTCGGTATTTATATGCCTATAAATTCAAAATATGTAATAACAATCCTACTAGAAAATGCAATATTGAGCCATATGTACGGCTGTGCTGAGAATGATACCTATAAGGTTTTGCTTTTACCATATCTCTTCTTGTTTGCAGTGCATTTCGAAATATGGCATCTGGCAGTTTCAGTGACTTAAAAAAGCAGGCACGCTACATTGATGAGACAATTTCAGACTTGAATTTGAAGCTTGCATATCCTGGAAGCATGTTTAAACCAAGCAAGATTCATCATACTGAAAAGATTCTAGAGGAACTCATGTCAGAAAATGAAGGAATTTTGGTAAATGGATATCCTTTTGCGTTAAGTCAAATCAGACATAATCTGGGGAGTAAATTGCAGGACCCCTCCACACATCTAGTCTGGCTAGATTAAGTTATTCAGTTGTTCAATCATCAAGACATTGTTTTATTTGTAAAGAAACATCAGTTCTGCAGTTTCACTCTTCAGTTGTAGATTATATTGTCTCTGCTTTCATAAACTAATGTCTGAATTAATAGTGGGAAATTTGGACACTGTTGTGGGTGTACAATCTTAGTGCTGAACTGGCTAGTCCCTGCTGGCTATTCATTCATGCCCTTTATCCTTTAGCCATCTTCAGCTATGCATCTATCACATTTTCTGTCTTGACACTGCCTTTTTTGACAAGAAACTGAGCATAGATCCAAAACATAAGAGTCAGATGTTATCTTCTCCGATATTTTGGACTCAGATCACCTACCAATAATATTCCACATACTGGATCATGTCAAAATTAGGAATATTTCAGAACCTATTGAGAAATTCACAGATTGCATATTGGAATAGGTTTCAAAGCCTCGCCTCTGAATTGATATCACCAAAAATCAAAATTGACTCCGTGGTAGAAGCCAATAAAGCAACGCAAGTCTTCACAGCCTCTATTGCTTTGGCATATAGGTTGTCGACAAGTAAAGTTACACTTTCGGATATAAACAATGATCTTCCCGGTCCAGATCATTTGTTAAAACATAAGCAGAGGCTACAAAAATTGTGGCAGGAATCCAGGGATCCAGCGTGTAAAACAGCAGTTAATTCGGTCATGAAGTCAATTAGGCAAATGACCCGTAGAAAGGCACTTGAACGGTTGTAAACAAAGATAGGTAACACTGAAGTCACATCTGAGGCTATATGGCCCATTGCGAAATCCCTCCTAAAGGAGGATGGACCAAGGGCACGAACTGCTATTCATGGTTCGTCAGGCCTTAAATTTCTTCCATCAAAGAAAGCCAACACAATTTCTGACTGTTTAGAAATTCAGTTCACACCACAACATTTGTATGATGAAAACCATGAATGGCGGGTGGAGGCTAGAGTTCAAGCTCTACTCAAAGATGTAGACAAAAGCCCCCTCAGAGGATGAGACCATGTGATTTACAGAAATTAATAAATTCTTTTAAACTGAGAAAGACCTGCGGAATTGATGGCATTCCAAATGAATGCCTCAGGCGTCTTCCAAGGTGATCTTTGGTACATTTGACCCATTTATTCAATCATTGCCTTAGGCTGTCCCATTTTCCAAGTCCTTGGAAGGAAGCAAAATCATAACCTTACCAAAACCCTGTAAGGACCCAAAATTCCCTCAAAATTTATGTCCTATTAGCTTCCTGTCCACAACAGGAAAACTATTCGAGAAAGTCATTTGGAAAATATTCTTCTTAATAGTCAAAGTCTCATTGCAACTGATGGTAAGTCACTCAGTCAGTCAATCTTGATGTCGAGCCAAATCTGGGGCTCATGACCAGATATTTATTACTGTTTGACAGTTTAGGTCTTGTTATTGTGGGGCACCCTCTCTAACGGAAGGACAGGTCTGTCTTTTGTCAGTCATTGTCTATAGTAGTAAGTCATTTGTCATAATGTAAAGAATATTTACATTTTACATGTTAAACATGATAATGAATGTATTAAATATATAAAGGACCTCTGTCAGTCGAGGCTTAGTACAGCAGATTATGCCCTATTTCTAGTAGCTTCCGCTACAACGGCAGTCTACTCACTTTCGGTCATATGCCTGACCACCACCAAGTTTAAGCCTCTTATACTTTCTATGTCGGGCTTCGCCTTGTCCAGTACCTCTTCATGTTCTTCATGTTATGTACAACATCCTATCACTAACATAAATAAATAAATACTCTACTCTCTTAACTGCTGATATGATTCTCTTAGGTACAAAAAAAGTATACCTAATTCATGATTCCCATTCCCCTTTCCATAGAAAAATGTACAGGTTTATTCGAAAAGAATGAACCGATTTCATGACACACTGCATCAGTTCTCAAGCATCGTCATGGAATGAGTCAGTGACCATTTGAAAGAGGAGTTATCTAAGTTGTGAATGGCTGCCACAGGGGGTGCTGAAGTCGCGTCGTTCTTCCGGCAACGTTCCATTGTTCATTTACCCTCGGAATGGCAAGTCCTAGCAAAAGGCGTTCTGCGTTCTCGAGTTTGCGAAAACAAATTCAGTTGTCACGGTGCAGCGTGTTTTTTGAAGGCAATTCAGCATTAATCCACCCTGTCCTAAGAACATTCGACGGTGGTTTCGACAGTTTCAAGAGTGTGGGTGTCTGTGTAAAAGAAAAAGTCCAGGATGACCACGAGTCTCGGAGGAACAAGTGGTGAGAATCTGTGCTGCGTTTGAGAGGAGCCCATGGGAGTCAACAAATCGAGCTAGCTGTGAGCTTGCGATCCCTCAATCCACTGTCTGGTGTGTGCTAATAGTACGTCTACATTTGAAACCATACAGACTGCAGCTTGTTCAGGCACTTACCAATGACGACAAAAGGAAGCGGATGGAATTTTGCGATTCAATGCTGGAGATGATGGAAGACGAAACCTTCATTTCACGTTTAATTTTTAATGAAGAAGCAACTATTCATTTGAACGGCACAGTCAATCGTCACAATGTGCATATTTGGGGAACAGAGCACCCACATGAAACAGTTGAGCACGAAAGAGATTCCCCTAAGGTGAACGTTTTCTGTGCTGTGTCTCAGGACAAGGTTTATGGTCCCTATTTCTTTGAAGGAAACACCGTTACAGGACAAACCTATCTCGATATGCTCCAAAACTGGCTCTTCACTTCACTGCAAGCAGATTCGCGTGACTTCATTTTTCAACAAGATGGAGCACCGCCCCATTGGCACCTGATGGTCCAAGCTTTTTTAAATGAAAAAGTGCCCCAGCGTTGGATTGGTCGGAAGGGGGCCCAAGACCTTGCTCTTTGTGCTTGGCCTGCAAGATCCCCAGACCTCCCGTGTATGATTTCTTCTTGTGGGAATATGTAAAAGATCACGTTTATCTTCTACCACTACCCACTAACCTCGATGACCTTAAACATCGAATAACAACAGCGATTAACTCAGTGCATCATGATATGCTGATACGCGCCTGGGAGGAATTCTCTTATCGCATTGATGTTGCCCGTGCTGCAGGTGGTGGCCACATTGAACACTTGTAAGACAGGAAATAAAAGCTGATTGTGAGTAGAATACTTGTGACTTGGCTGGAGTTTTGTATTACTTTCCTTTAATAAAATATTGCATAATAAAATCGGTTCATTCTTTTTGAATAACCCTGTATATTTGCCTGCCGGTTTGGTGCCTCTGTACCATCTGACCTCCTTTACTACATCTAACATATATTTTGACAGTTTTTAGCCTATAAGTGACAAATGAAATATATAGTGTTAATAAAGCATTAGAGCATATGTGTGGTGATGGTGCAATATAAAGCCTCTGACAGATTGTGGTGACTGGAATGACAGCTGTGGGAAGAATACTCATATGTAAAAGAAAAAAGTAAATGGAGTATGGACAAAATTGCATAATGTGGAGTTTCATGATTTGTACTTGACATAATGATAACACTTTGATTTCAGTTCATGAATATCCAGGTAGATTCTTAACCAGGCACTGCCTATCCATACAACATTATAAGGTCACAGTGGTTTTTCTTACTTCTTCCAGGAAAATGTTGGTGACCATAACCAGTTCCTTATACAGTCCTCTTGATATATCATTCAGAATCATCCTCCCATATCTCATTTTGTTACGTTATCTTAGCACCTGATAATGGTGCCGTAACAACCAATCATCCAGCTTGTGATGATGGACCAATAGGTGTAGCATAAAATAGTTTCATTTGGCTGATTTTAATTATTATTTTTATTTATTTTCAGCAAAGCATCAATGAAGAAAAAGAGATTGCTGAGCATAATCTTCAAGAGTTGGAGAAATTTCTGAATGAGATGAATGTGAGTGTACTCAGTATTATTAATGAACAGAAAAATTTAGAAGAACAAATGAAGCAGTATGGGTACACTCCACTGGCAGAAACTCATACCACCTTGCAAGAAAAGGAAAGTAGCAATGATGCCATGGTGGATGAACACAATGGCAGTGATGCATCATCTTGGGAGGAACAGTTGGAGGGGATTTCGATTGCTAGTGACACTACAGTTCAGGATATTTATAACATGAACATGACATCACGAGCTGCACCTCCTTCAGAACCTCTGTTCTCAAAATACTACTACCTTGCACTTGGATTGCCTGTGCCTCCACAGGTTTTGAACAGCACTGCAAGCAAGACCTGCACTTAGGAAAGTTTCATACATGTTACAGTCTCTCATAGTGTTTTCAGTTAACTAAAATCATTTGTAAAGAAACCTAGCAGCAAGTGTTTCTGGTGAAATAATTTTCAAATCTCCCCCAAATGTCAACTTTCCGATAACAGCTAGACACTAGCAAACACTGATTTGTCATTTTGAAGCAAAACACCATCTTCTCAGGTTTCAGATTCTTACATCGAGTAATTAAGATTATGTGACATCATATAGTTTGGTACCTACCAGATTATTCTGTATTATAACCCAGAAGGCCATACATCTTTGCATTTTCTGGGTTACGGTAATGCCTCCGTAGTTAATGACAGAGAGTTATTCTCTTCAGTATTGCCAAATGTTGAGCTCAATTCAAGACAGATTTAATTTGTTATTTAAATTTATATATGAATTGCCCAGAATTTTGCTTTTTGGTGTAAACTGTCTGATGCAGTTACATATTAGTGGACAGGATTTGGTAGTTCGGTGCCAGAGCACATTTCTGCAAAATGGATCATATAATTTTGCTACGAGGCTTGTATTCATGATGACAATTACAAATTGAGCACCACTTGCCAGGTTTAAGGTAATCATGATTTTAATAGTGTATACATTATGTTGCTGATGGAAGAGGTGTGGGTATGATTGCTAGATTTTAGTTCTGGATCTGACCAGTCTGTGCCATTGTTCAATTTAATATCCACATGAAAGAACAACTCACTTATATTGTAAGTATTTTGTATTACCATATGCACACACTGCCCCACTCCTCTCATTTTTATTTAATGCAGCGGAATCCCCATTTAATTTTGCTCACTTTTTAAGTTTTCCCTCATTTAATCTTCAATTTCAGTGATTCTAAATTAATAATCTCATTGATAAATTACCTCCATTTAAAATTTTCCTTGGTTTAATGTTCAAATCCCCTGCTCTTCAAAGGAATCATAAATGGGGGTTTCACTGATATTCTAATAATGAGTATAAATTAATTTATACCCAAATAATTATAACAAAAACTGAAATTTATGTAAATTATAATCTTATTATTCTGTAGTTTGTTATTGTCCTGACAACAGACTAAGCAATTCCCAGAAATGTGAATTGGTAGTTTCTTTCTTCTCTTATATATATAGGACAGTTGTGTTTAATGGATGGAAGGAGTGACTTCCTGGTGCATGCAGTCAAATACTGAATGGCACTGGTCTTGTATTGTATTGTATTTGTATTTATTGTAAGTTCAAGAGATCCAAAGATGGATATAGAACATGTCATAAAATAATATAGAGCATAGAATACATACATAGTTAGTACACGACTGTACAGTACAGTGAATACAACAATAATAAAAGTTATCTATTTAGATATTCATCCACAGTATAAAACGTGTGAGTGTTCAAGAAATGCCTTAATACAACCTTAAACTTTTTAAAATTATTAGATGTGTTCTTCATCTCTATGGGCAATTTATTAAATATTTTTATACCTGTGTAATAAACCCTTTTTTGATAAATAGTTAAATTAGCTTGAGGTAGATGCAAATCTTTTCTTTCTCTAGTATCAGTAGTATGAGAATCAGTGTTTTATAGAAAAAGAACTTTATTTTGCAATACAAATACTAACAGTGAAAATATATATTGTGATGAAAATGATAAAATATTTAACTCTGAATATGTTTCTACACGAAACTCTATTGCCATATCCCAACATCGCTCTGATAGCCTTTTTCGGAGAAGAGAAATAGCAGAACTGTGAGATGAGTTTCCCCAAAAGATGATACCATAGCTCATTAAGGACTGAAAAAAGGAATTACCAGAGCTGAAATAGACATATAATATTTAATATTTCTAATTATGTAACAAGCCTTACTTAATTTTTTTACAAGTAAATCAATATGATACTTCCATATAAAGGCACTATCAACTATAACTCCCAAAACTTTAGTACTGAGGACACTGTTGATAAACTTATTATTATGAATGTATCTGACATTATTGTCCTAGTTTTAAATTGAATACAGTCTGTCTTGTTAAAGTTTAAAGATAATTTATTAGTTCTAAACTATCCATTTAAGATTTCAGTTGTTATAAGAATATTTCTGTTAAGATCATTTATATTAGAATGTGATAATAAGATGCTAGTATTATCAGCAAAAATTATAGGTGTAGAAAATTTATTTAATATTTTAGGCAAGTCATTTATATTTAAGAGAAACAACAAAGGCCCTAATACAGACCCTTGCGGCACTCCCTGCCTAACATTAAGCCAATCTGAGGATACTGCATTCACATCACTTTTATGTATTACTGTTCTAATATATCTGTTACTTAAATAAGATTCATAAAGCGCGTGATCTTTCCCAGTAATACCATAAAATTGAAGTTTGGCAGAGAAGATTTGGACTTACGAGGGAGGAAGTAACAGGAGGATGAGAACTTGAACTGCAGAGGGATCCATAATTTGTACTATTCATCAAATATTTTTAAGGAAAACAAATGAAGGAAGATGGAAAGGGTAGGATATGTAAGAAGTACAGAAAGTTTTAGTTGAAAAATATGTCTTAAAGAAATGAGATATAAGGATGCGACATGAATTCCTCTGGACCAGGACAGAGACATATGGCAGGCGTCATAAGCATAGTAATGCACCTTTTGATTCTGTAAAGGCTGGAGTTTTCTTGACCAGCGGAATGGCTATCAGCTTCTCAAGAATGACTTTGCTCCATTGAGTTAACTTCATCCCTTTATTTTTAAAATGGTCCTGCTGTCACAGAATTTAAGAATTTCACATCAGCATCTTTCATTCTATGGTATTTGTTTTGTTTCTTTTCAGGAGACTTTGTTTTTAAACTGTGGAAAGTGTCACATGCCTTCAGAAATCCAGTAGGTGGACATACCAATAATTCCAGTCTTGGAAATATTGTGTTATGTCAGCAAGTAATGTTAACTGACACTAGATAGTTGAGTGGTATACTTATAATCACAATGGAAGTAAATGGGAAGTGAAAGATGTTTTTTTTCTATATTGCATTTTATTGCAAAATATTACATTAACAATAAATGTAATGCATAAAATAAAACAAAATAAAAAATATAAATTGATATTTCATCAGTTTCATATGTGGTTCAAATGGTAGAATCTTGTTCTTTCTTTCAAAATATTTTATTCCAGGAAGGTAATACTTGTATGACATTGATTCAACTAAAAGATATACTGCTTTAGTGAACGTTTTCTTTCAACAAAAATTGAATTTGTAAAGTTTTATCAATACCGGCATGTGATGATGTCATGGATAAGTAAGCAACACTTTTGCAAGCATCTTGACTGCTTACTATTTACCTGTCTCTATCATATGAGCCATCTACACATCCTCGCACCATCTCACAGTCATTATCACAAGTCTTAAAGCAAAACAGGGAAGCAATAAACAACACATTACATCACTATTTAAAATATTAGTTTTGTCTGTGTGTGTTATTCTAGTATGATATTATTTACAACATCTACACTGTCAATTATTGGACTTCAGAAAATTGACTAGGCTACAGGTAATGAGATTTGGAATATGATTCTAGCCAATCATTCACCTCATTATAGCTATTGGCCATCCACTGCACATTGGCCCGGACTACCTCGATGGCTTGCTTAAAGCTTTGGGTTGTTGTTCCAAGCTTATCAGCATTCTCATCTTGCAGTTTCTCCAGCTGACAACCACAAAAACATTAATTTAATTCGTTTGTTTGTTAATTTATTTAATGACACTATCAGTAACTCATAGTACATATAGCAATGGATGACTGGATGCTAGTAAATAATTAATTGGAAAGGACATGGCAGGAAGCAGTTGTGGCATTATGTAGGGTGCTGACTTGGCATTTTCTGGAAGGGTTGAGGAAAACTATGCAAAATCTCAGAAATATAAATATTATTAGACAAATTTCCAAGCAATGGAAAAGACCTACACATGTCTGTATCCATCTGTCCATACACATCTAGTAATTATACCATGATTGAATAAAATTTATTCAATCTAGCATGTCAGATCCTGAAATTGACGATTTACTGCAGTATCAGTTAATGAATGAAAAGCAACTGTTAGATTAAAATTAATTTTAGATTAAGAAATTTGATGTAAACACATGATGTTATATAAGGGTGACAGGCAAAGTGAAATAAGAATGATTACACTGCAAACTTATACTGAGTACTGACATATTCCTGGATACTATACCTGTGACAGCTGCAGAGGGGTGTTCATGTATGTTGCAATGGCAGACACCATCCTTGAAATGCTGGAGAAAGCAACACCATAGCTAAAACAAACAAGCATTATTTTGCATACATAAAATATTTCTTATACCTTAATGTGTGTTCTTTGTATGGCATAAATAACGTGAATGCATAACAGAGATCACATTTTTCAATCCATTGTTCTGCATGTTTGTTTAAATTTGATATAGAGAAACTACACCAAAAATTAGCAGATAATTGAAGTTGGTTTGTAACAATCTAATATAACTCTTACTTTATTAGAGTTTGAAATTTTCGTATCTTTCTAATTTCTTGTCTGTGTTATGTGTTTTTTATGATGTAGTGGAGAATATTGGGTGTACTGTGTTGAATGAATGTGCAATCCAAAAATACTGCTGTTAAGTAGTATTCACTCATGTTGCACGTTTCTACTCTGTGTTTAATGGACAGGTTTCTGCATTTCACTGCTTGCACATTAGTGTCTTCATGGCTTTCGGTTTGTTATATGTGGTGGTTCTCAATTTTGTTGTTTACTGTTTGTGGTGTGTCTTCTGATGTACTGTTAATGTGCTGGTAACCAACTGATTTATGTGAGAGGCTTTCTCTAAGAAAGGTTCTAATACCTAATTTGGATCCACCTACTGCCATATTCAAAAAATTCTCCTCTTTCCAAATTATGCTGTTCACCATTTCATCAGAAAATGCCAATTGAATTATCCTTGTCTGCAGCTACCATTAGTTACCACTCTAGTATCTTCACTTGCATACTGTCCTTACTCAAAAATGGGTGGGAATGTCTGGAAACCTTCTAAACAAAAGCATTTTTTCTATCCCTGCATGATAGAAAATTTTTTGCCTGAAAATGCATTACTTCCACTTACAAGTTTTTTTTTATTTCCATTTCATACAATTCATATACCAAAGGCCTACAACAGTCAATTACTTTCATACCTTAAATCGAAAATGTATACATTTAGTCTCAATAAGAAGTCAAATTTTGTCAACTTTTACTTACTCCAACACAGTCTTTTAGCCTACTTTCCTGCTTTCAGGAAATAAAATTTGTTCATAGTATCACCATGCTGTTTGTGTATATCTAACAGCTTCAACTCCTGAAACAAGCCACTGATTTTCATGACATTTGGTACTGGAGCCCCTCAACACTGTATCAAAAATGTCACTGTATAACCAAATGTCCACTTACTAGCTTTGTAGGGCATCCCAATTGTCCCTTAGGAAGTTGAATGCTAGGGAATGTCCCACAACATTGTTTGCCACAGTTACAAACACACGTGCCCCATCTTGCTTGCGGATCCCTGAACTGTTTGAGGTGATCCAACTCAGGTATCTACAGCAAAAGAAACAAGTTACTCATAAGAGTTATAAGACTTGACGTTTTCTTAGTAGCATTGATAAGAAAAGGAACTAGACTGATTGGCTGATGAGATTATAGTTGTCTAAACTACACTGCTTTATTCAGAACAGTTAACACAAAAGCAAATAAGATCAAAATTTAATTTATTAATTCCATGCTATAGTATTTCTTGATCGGTTAAATATTTATTAAGCAAGTCAAATTCCCTGCTTCTTCAGCTTATAGAGATCCATAGCATATTCATGAAAGTCATCCACGGACCATTATTTCATGAAAGTTCAATGTACTTTACATCTTCACAGCCATTTTCTCTGTGATCCAGGTTCATTTTGTCATCATATCTAGTTCTTCATCTCTGAAACACTTCCTTTTCTTGAGATTTTTCAACATAATTTTTATGATTTTCTTATTTTTCCCTATATGTGTTATATGCCCTATGTAATCCTTTTTATTTCTTTATTTATAGCTTATTTAATGACAATGTCAGTATCTCAAGATTATGTAATGTCAAATGAAAGGATGGTTAGTGAATAACGAATTGGAGAGGTTGTGTAACGAAGAAGTTTCTGCTTAATTTGAGGTATTTTCCTGGAGAGTATGACGAAAACCACTAAGAACATCAGTCAGGACAGCTGGTCTCCGGTATAATGTATGACCCAGAACCTCCCAAAAATGAATTAGGATTGCTATCCATTTGACAAAGACATTATGAATCCAACTATCCTGAATTAGCCATTCTCACATTATGAGATAAGTGGTGCAAATTCTGAAGCTCCTCAGTCTGTAATTATCTTCTTTCCTCTGATATATCTCCTTAGCTAATCTATATTTAATCCTAAATGCTATGTAGGATAATGTTTTCATGCACATGCATATGTCATTAAAAGCTTAGACTAACAAAATTTATATTTTTATAGCTGCATTTTCTCCACAATGACTTGGTTGTCAGTTATAAAACGAAATCACTGGGACTTGAGGTTAATATTGAAGCAAAGAGTCATATTTATAACAAACTTCACTGAGCTGAGCTTTTCTTGAGAGGCCGCCAGTTATGTAGCTACTCAAGAACTTCCTGACATTCTATGGAACCCAAAGATTCATTACCATGTTCACAAGAGCACTCCACTTGTCCCTATCCTGAGCCAGATCAATCCAATCCATACCATCCCATCCTATCTCTCTAAGATCCATTTTAATATTGTTCACCCACTTATGTCTTGGTCTTCCTAGGGTCTATTTCCTTCTGGCTTTCTCATCAATATTCTGTATGCATTCCTCTTCACCCCAATCGTGTTCTGGCTTTCTCATCAATGTCCTGTATGCATTCCTCTTCACCCCAATCGTGTTCTCTTGTGGCAGCGTGCAGCATGCAGCCACAAAAGGACACATCACAAGACACAGTATACACAAAATATAGGAAGAACGACTCCCATAGCAGAAGATTGATAGATTGATATAATACGCGAGTTTGAAATATGACGTATAAGATGATAAATCTTAACAAATTTTAANGGCTTTCTCATCAATGTCCTGTATGCATTCCTCTTCACCCCAATCGTGTTCTCTTGTGGCAGCGTGCAGCATGCAGCCACAAAAGGACACATCACAAGACACAGTATACACAAAATATAGGAAGAACGACTCCCATAGCAGAAGATTGATAGATTGATATAATACGCGAGTTTGAAATATGACGTATAAGATGATAAATCTTAACAAATTTTAATATATAAATTTTATTATAGTACATGATGAATATACATTTTAAATCATTTTATAAACGACACATGATGGCAAGCAGTGCAATAGTTTAATGTAAATACTAGACCTGAGGATGGCTAAGTGATGCCGAAACATGTAGTGAAGTGACAAGTGAGACTGTGTGCACTAGAAGACGGTCAATACATACACATCATGGACGAAAATTAGTCTTTTCTTTCTGGGAACAGGAGATTTAAAATCTCCTGGTGCTACAGGGATGGTGGCCAGATCTTAACTCAGAAACAACTCAGTATCAAAAAAATGCAATGCTTAGCCAGATGGACCATATTAATGCACCATTCATTACAACAGTGCATCCCACAACTGAAAATATTTAAGTCTGTTTCAATAGAAATCAACATGATTTAAGAAAAGTTGGAGTATAGATTTTCCACGTGCAATTTATATTTACGTACATACAGTTTTGAGGTTTAGTTATTATAATTATAAGTATATTATTACTAAGCAAATGTTATAAGTCTTCATATATTAATATATTACTCTAAACCAGATTTTTGGTAATTCTGATAATGTTTTGATTTCAACTTCATGTAAAGCAGTCAGTTCTACGTTTTACCTGTTGAGAATCCATGGCTCTCTGGAGCAGCCTAGAGCTTCCAACAAATGCTCCTTGTCAGAACCAACATTGGACAACTGGTACTTCTTCCATGCAAAATTCCACACATCTGCTCCACCATGCTTTATTGCTGTGCAGTACACCACTTCTTTCTGGTTAGGAGATATCCTGCAGAAATCAAACCAGTTCATATTACAGGAAACATACTTACAAAATTAATTCACAACTACTGTCACATGTGATACATATGTTAAAATTTGATCACAGAACAGAACAGCAGTGCATTTCATTCCTTTCTTATCAAACCAAGATCTTGTAGTTAGGTGGTTACCACCCCTGCTTCACATTTGAGAGATCTCTAATTCAATCAATGGAATAATATTCTCGGGAAACTCTACAGATAGCACTAAAATCTTTAAAATGCAAAAGAGTGCAATTTTAATTTTCACAGGAAGCAAGAATAAAGATTCTTGCAGAGATTTATTTAAAAAGTTAGAAATTTTACTTTTTCACGCTCACTCCCGTTATTTGTGGTACACAACACAATCATGAACAATTTAAATTCTGACATCCCTAACATAAATACAAGGCAAAAACTCAACTTCCACCAGCATTCAGCAAATCTATCTCTGTATCAAAAAGGAGTCCACTCTCTTGGCATTAAAGTGTCCAATAGCCTCCCTCAAAGTCTTAAAAAAATAAGCAACTGGTATTATTAAGCAGTTCAAAACAGCATTGAAACATTACTTACTTAGTCAACCCTTCTACTCCATATATGAATATTTCAATGTAAACAAAGGGTTTCTTTATTGCTAGTTGGGTGGGACTAAGTCCCTTGTACTGCGGCCACTTCTGGCCTATTGTACCAGCCCCAGAAGATAGGTGAGGGTGATTGTGGAGCAATTGGTGGAATGAAGACTGGCAGGGGAAAACAAAGTATTCGGAGAAAACCTGCACCAGCGCCACTTTGTCCGCCACAAATCCCACTTGACCAGACCCGGAATCGAACCAGGGCCACCACGGTGGGAAACCAGCGACTAACCACTTCAGCCATGGCATGGCAAAACAAAGAGTAACTAGTATCAATTCTAAGCTAAAGTGTATTACCAAGCATGTCACCATATCATTTTGCTTATTTGCAGACTGTGCTGTATGTATCCAATTAGCATGGTAATATTAATATTGTATTATAATCTTATTAACTTTTCAAGCAAAACTATTACTGTACAGATATTATGTATTTATACTTGACCTGTTACATATCCTATGGTGTCAACCTGTACTTGGATTTACAGAACGTAAATAAATTCAAATTCAAAATCTTGGTCCAGATACAGACTATCCTGCCTGAGTTTTTCATAGGTTTCTTCAGTACCAATCTGAAAATTCTTCGAGAATTCTGTAACAGGATATGGCTACATCCTATCGCATTTTTTACAATTCGGTACTCACAATCATCTCAGCATTTGAAACTACAAAAAGAGTATAGCTGAAAAAGGCATGTTAAGTAAACCAAAAGCTTGCTATGGACCTCAGCCCGTTCAATTCAACCTTCTTTACACAAGCCTGTTTCCTAATAACCCACTTTTATACAGGATTATTCATAATTCTGTGAAACATTTTAAATATTCACAACAAATAAACTACGCATCGGATCATGGTAATTCTTATGTCAATAGAGAATGAATCCCTCCAAGTTTTTTTTTTCTTCTGGGGGTTTGTGAAGGATACTGTCTTTGTGCCTCCATTGCCTGCTAATCCCAGTGATCTTTGCAACCATATCACCGCTACTGTGACTGTGGACAAAATGAATTATCACATAGATCTCTGCCATATCAGCAAAGGTGGACATATTGAGCATCTATGAATTATGTAAAAAAGAAAACTAGGTGAGTTTGTCTCTATTTCAGTGTAATAAAATTTGGTATCTGTTGCATAATTTATTTATTGTAAATTTTTAAAATGTTTCATAGACTTATGAATAATCCTGTATAATCTTGTCATTCATATTTCAATCTTCCAAGAAGATATCCCATCAAAATTCCCTGTGTTCATCTTTTCCTCTTATCCCCATCCCATCCTGACTTATCTGACCCACATGAGGAAAAGAACAAAATCGCCAGCTTCTTTGTAGTGAATTCTTTTACCATTTCTCACCCATTTCTTCTCTCACAGATTAATAGATTAACATGTATGAGTGACTATAGACCAAGTTTGGATTGGTAATTGGATTTATTGACCAATTACAGATCATAACTACAAGCAACTCAGTGTTATCATTAATTCACACACTCTACAATTCACTACAATATGCACTGTGACTCTTCAGTCTGCTGTGTCTTCACCAGTCATTGCTTGGTAACAGGTTCCAGTGGTGGACATTCCCCTTACTCTGGGTACCCTAACTATCTCCATGCCTCAGCTATCAGTTTCTAACAGCAAAATCTCACAATGACTAAATTGCTGTTCTCTAACTCACTGACTCACCAACCAGCCATTCACTTTCCTGCATTGCACTAATTAGATCCCAGGTTAGCAGCAATCTCACACCAACCTCCTACTCTTCTGTCTGACTCCAACTCAATTAACAAAACTCTAGACCTGTCCTGCCTACAACACCTCAGCATGAACCATGTAGAAAACACAGCTCCTCATTGTCGTAGTTCAATTGTTGCTTGTTAGAAATCTGTTGCATAGCAGTGGACGTTGTTTATCGAGTCATTATTTAGCAATGGACCTACATGCTACAATATTTATTGTTTACACTTTGTCTCCAAACATTTGTGACTTAAATTCACCCTTCACTCAGAATACAGATCACTGTTGGACACTTGTGAACATGGTAGCGTAACCAGTCCATGCTCATTTTCAATTAGTGTAAATATGCTGATATAATTATCCCGATCCTGTCTTAAGTTGGTATGATGTCACAATGCACATAGCCTCTGAGCAGTTTAAACCCCATGGCTAGTTCCTAGTGGAGATGGCTGTATGAAGGCTTTGCTACTATGAAAATCTGGAGTTGGTTTACTGTGTGTCAACACTACAGGCAGCCATGAAGGGGTTAAAGTTAATTAAAATATCACGTGATTTCTTGACTTGAAACACAGGGGTTATATGCTGTCTGAAGGTTACAACAGAGGAGTCTTTGAGAGGCATCGATAGAGAGTGGATACAAGGTGATCTCCAATAGTGCTAGACTAGAAGCTAACTAAGCACTGAGCAGAATTTTATAAGTACAATAAATTATGTAATCATCATACTGTTTAGTATGAGTGTGAGTATATTTAATAAATAGACATTGTGCAGAGTGGATGGGTGGAGGAGAGAACCTTCAGGTTCCATAAAAGGCAGAGATTCTCTTGACTAGCTAATCAGCTACTGCTTTCAGAATGACTCTGCTCCATATAGCTGGTTGGCTAGTTAGTTAGTTAGTTAGTCTGTCAGCAAGTCAATTAGTGAGTAAGTGAATGAGTGAGTGAGTTAGTAAGTGAGTGAGTGAGTTAGTCAGTTAGTCTTCCCTTGGGTAAGAGTACATACCATATGAAACCCACTCACATTAAACAATGATCAAAATAAATGTATTATAGAGCTCCATCTTCTTTGGTTGTGCAAATTTACCTGTAAGTGATTAACTGATAATGCAACTATTAAGAAAGTCTAACCATGTTGGCTCTGGACCGAGCCAAAACCTTAAGGGAGAACTGTGGTCACAATAAATTGCCAACTTGTCAAGCATGCAGCAGCAGCAACAAGTGCTTGGAGATAACCTGCTCCAATGTTCAATAGTTCCTCAAAATGCTCACAGAAGTCATACCATCCTTAGTGACTGGCTCTGTTTTAAATACTAAGGGTACATTTTATATCCTTTCACAATACTTTGCAATTCTTCACAACCTTGAGATGGTCAAATTTACCTTTCCACAGTCACATCTCTAGAATATGAGACAGCAGACACACTTGGAAAGGCCATATATCCCAACTCATGCCTAAATTGTGCAAGGCTTGTTACTCATTGAGGGTGATCAAGCCCATTATGCCCATAGAGACATTAAAAATGGTATATTACTCTTATTTCGATTCACTTTTGACCCATGGAATTATTTTTGGGGGCAATTCTTCTTATAGTATGCACATTTTCAGAATTCCAAAGAGAATGATTAGAACCAGGAGTGGGTTGAGATCTAGGGACTCTTGTAGAGATGCTTTGGGGATTGGGGAATTTTGCCATTGCAGTCCCAATATATATTTTCTTTATTGAGATTTGTTGCAAATAATATGGGTTTATATCACATGACATCACAAATTCATGGCCTTAATACTAGGCGTAATTTTGATCTTTATCGCCCTCAGACAAATTTAACAACTTACCAGAGAGGACCTTATTATTTTGGTATTAAACTTTTTAATCATCTTCCTTTAAATATAAATGAGTAATTCCATAATATTAAGCAACTTAGTGCAGCTTTAAGTGCCGTTTTACATACTAAATCCTACTACACTTTAGATGAATATTTTAATTAGGGATAGTTTCTTGTTTAGCAATGACCCATTATTTTATCTATTGTCATGTATATGTTCTAATTTTGATTATATCTTATATACACATGGTAGGTTATGTAGCTGCAGTGATGTGTAGGGGTTTCATATGCTCGATTCATTGTTGCGGATTTATATCCATTGTTCTATTGACTACTTGCTGATTTAGCAAGCTTGTGGTGTGACAGGTTCTGTATCCAATGGCTTCGGCCTTGTATGGATGTGCTGGAACGTGTAATAAATATAAAAACAAATATAAATACACATCATAATCACTTACGGGCCTGTTTCCCGCTCCTCAAGTTCTTGTGTCATCCACCGACGATACTTGTTCTTAGCATTCCAAACACAGAACTCGTGGTCCAGCCTGCAGGCCCAGGATAGGACCTGGGCCCTATTCAGCAGGTCCAGGTGGCTGTCCAGTGCTCTGTCTTCAAACTGCAGACTGTTGTAAACTTTGTCTAGCAGTGCCAGTACTATATGCTGAAACAAAACTTGTGGACAAGTGGATAGGCATAACACAACAATTTAATGAAGTTTCCTGCATTGGTATCTATAAAGTATACAAGCTGATCAACTGATTTATTTTATCATTATTGACCAACTAATGCAGTGGTTAATGAGTTACTGATAAGATGCATAATAGTAAGAATTAAGTCACTGATCAAGTGAGTAATTTTAATTCTTTCAGATGTAACTTATGATATCTGTGGGAGACAAAATTAGAATTAATCACATATAACCCTTAAGGCCTATATTCACAACGGTATGACATACAGATAGGGACATCATAAAAGCACAAGCAGTCCATGAAAACGCTTAGGGTGGCATGATTTTGGGGGGTGGTACATTTTAGGATAATGCCTTACATTAACATAAACTGTCCATTTTGTTCATTTACCATACAAATATTTTGTTGGACATTGATTATTTACCTGAAGCATATTTATTATACAATATATCTCAGGTGATGTTTCCAGTTCCCTCTTTGGGTGACTTGTCATTATAATGATTATGGTTTGATGGTTAGCATACTAGCCTGGTATTCAATTCTGGGTTTGATTCCAACTATCACCACTAAAAACTAAATGCTAAAACGCAAGCCTAGTAGTCATAAAATCTTGGATCTGACCCAAACTGTCACCACTAACAACCAGAAAATAGTATATTAGCCTAGTATCTGAAAAGTCCCAGGTTCAATGTCAACCATGACCACTACCAACTGGACATGAGCATATTACCTGAGAATTCTAAAGCTCCTAGGTTTAATCCCAACAGTCACAACTGATATCAAAAATAAAGAGATAATAACAAATCTGTCAATATAATTACAATCAAACATCTGAAGAACCAACACTGTAAGCACTGTGTATATCAAATATACTTCAGAAAATGGACATCATCAAAATTAATATTCATACAGGACAGGCTGCTGTCAAAGTTTTGTCATCATGCCGAGGAACACAGATTATAATTTCATAAGTAATTAATAGGCTTCTGACATTTCTTGGAAATAATTACAATTTATTGCTGGTCTTGAAATGTAGCTTACAGGACCAAATTCTGTATGTGAATTAATTACAGTGAATCAGTACATACCATGTCAGCTCAGCCATATATTACTCCTCACTTCCAAACTGTTCGTCTTTTCCCCATATACTTTGAGCATAAACACCTTGCAGTATTGCCAGAACAGCTTATCCTCCAAAAAACTTGTTCAAAGTATTCATGAGTCACTCCAGATGATCTTATGTAGCATTGAATAAGATGTGAGGATGACAATAACCTAGTATTTTATAAAAAACTGAAGAAACCCCCAATCATTATAGTCAGTTCACAACCAAAGCTGAAACAGGAGCCTCCCCAGTACAAGTTAGGAGCATTCCCATTTGTCTTTGTCCTCCTTATCTATGCCAGGCAATTGCTGGGTTATCATGGCACATTTGAAATAAATATCAAATGAGATATGAGGATAATAGTGTGCAGTGAATAGGTGCTAAAGCAGCTATAGACTGTTCAAAGCGATATCCATTCATTTCCTATGCTAAACTTATAAAAATTATAATTGACACAGCCACTTAAAGAAAACATGAAGGTCAAGAAAACCAGAATAATAAAATCCAAATATGTCCTGAAGGATTACTGTGCCCTCCGTGAAGTAAACATTAACACAATGCACATTCAGTATGTGATTTAAAAACTGTAACTGGATATCATAAGGGCATTAACAAATTGTCAGCGCTGTGTACACAGCATACCATGTAAGACCATGTAGATGTTATTAAAATTTAATAAACAGATGAACAACTTGTATATTTCGCAACTTCTGCTCAGCAAAAACAATAATTTTTCTGTGAGAATGGTTTAGGCTCACTAGTGAAATAGTCAGACAAATGTCCTAATGGCAGTGAATATTCCTTTTAATTAATCCAAACTTCCCTAAATATTCTGTCCATTTACCGTATTTTCTAGGCTATAAGAATCACTGGAATATAACACAGATTTTAGAAGGAAAATCTCAAAGAAAATGATCTGCTGTTTTAGCAGACTGTAATACAGTCATATTTCAAGCAATAATTTCTTGTAAAAAAACGCGTGTCTTGTACTCCAGAAAATAAGTTTTCTGTTAAATGGCTGTTATATAAGAAGATATATGGTATATGTTTCATACTGCAGCAGACGCACAAATATGGAATCCTCAGTTTGTTCAAAATAGACTGAAAGGGGCTAGATATGTCAGTTTGATGTAAATGAGAAATAAGCAACAGAAAAGCTGGTTAATATTCCTCTTCTAATTCCTGCTTCACAAACCTTGAAGTTGCCATATGCAGGGGTAAGTGCCAGCATTGTATCCAGGTGTTCAAGCGCAGTGAGAGCTGCAGACCAGGGCAGATACTCCACGTCTGTAATGAGCTGAGAGGTGAGGTCCATAGCAATTCTGTACTCCAACCGCCCAGACAGTGCCAGGTTCAGTGAATCATCCAGCAGTTGCGCTCTTGTCACATCTGGTAGCTGCTGGAAGCTGGATATCAGTAGTCTCCAGTTGGCATGGTCATAGTTAACACGGTAGAAACCTGAGTGACAGACAATGAAATAGCAAGGGAGCTGAAGTCTCTCACATAACATGAAACCAGTTTTATGTAGTACATGCTGATCAAGTGAGATTAAACCTAGTGAAGCATTAAGTTCTGCTTTGGGCAAATACAGTCTCACATATTTCCAACTTTGTGCAGTAGAACCTGGCTTTAGAATCTCAGTCATTCAGCTGGTCAAGACATCATCAGCCTTTTATGGAACATAAAGTTTCACAATCATTTTCAACAGAGCTCACCATGTGACCATATTCTGAATTAGTTTAATTGAATTCCCGCCCTCATATCCTATTTGCATTTTAGTGTTATCCTCCCATATGAATCTAAATCTCCCAAAATATTTCGTTCTTTCAGGTTCTCCAACTACAATTTTGTATGAATTTCTCATCTCCCCTTTACATGCTACATTTTCTACCCTCTCATCCTATTCCATTTTATCACCTTACTAACATTTTGGGAAGCATAGGAATTATGGAGTTCCTTACTGTTTAATTTCCTTCATCCTCCTGTAACTTCTTCTATATACAAATATTCTCCTCAACACCCTGTTCTCAGATGCCCTCAGTCAATTTTCTTCCTTTAGGAGTAAGAGATAAAGTTTCACACTCATACAAAACAACAAGAAAAATTATTATTTGTAAGAGAAAGGTGAGTTCCTCACTGTAATCACTATGAGGGGTTCAGCCTTCCGGTATACCATGTACCATGCAGTCTGGTAGATGTTTCAAAAGAATGTTCTATCACAATCTTCTGGGTCAAAGAATAAGTCAACAAAGCAGCAAAGTGTTTAATGTCAAAGTAGACTGAACATACAGTAACTACTCTGCCTAAAATATTTAAATATACCACAATCTATTCAACCCACATCCTTCCCAATTAGACATTCATAATCATGCTCCAATTTAAGGCCATATAAGCTTTGTACTTGATCTGGTGTCATTAAATCAATTAAAAATAAAAATATACCTGTCTCATGGACGTTGAATAGAACCCAGCTTGTGTTGCCTGGCAAACCCTCCACCACTGTAGACTGTACATTCTCAAGCCAGAGCTGTGGTTGGGTCATATTAAAGTCTGGTGCTTCTTGTGTGGTGAATGTGAGTGGTACCCACCAGGTTGCATTAGTGATGGTGTTTGATGACAACAAGAACCGCTCCTGAGGTACAACAGAAACAATTCATGAGACTTTCCTTTGTACTTCAATATGTATATTTCCTAACTTGTTATAATACTGGGAGGATAGTTGGTGACTGTGCCCAGGCAGGACATACATTCTCAGTGCATGGGTTGCTGCCTTTACTATTCAGTCATGTGTAATGATGACGTTGTAGGGTGAAGGTTACTGGTCCTCTTGCAGTGCATACCTCTTAAAATTAAGGCTATCTGAATAAAGCACAGGTTCCCTAAATGTCTTCGCAGCGAGGGCACACAAAACACCAACTTTTACATAATGGAATAAAACCTGATATTTCTCCCCATAATAACATACACATAATAACAAATACTAAAGTACAAAACCAGTCACGGTAGCCAAGTGATCTAAGGCATGCACAGTCTTCGCTTGCTCAGAAACCGGGATTATGGGTTTGAATCCCACTCAGGGCATGGATATCTGTATGTAAGTTGGGGGGGGCGTTTTCCTGTGTTTGTGTACAGGTAGAGGCCTTGTGATGAGCTGATCACCCACCCAAAGAGTCCTACCAAATGTCTAAGACCTAGTAAACCGAAGTGAAACAGAGAGTTTTGTGCAGGTAGGCCAAGACCCAAATTGAGGCTGTAGAGTCAAAGGGAAAAAAGTACAAAAGTCAGCAACTTGTATACAGAGTTCCAGTCCATGATCCATAAGTCTGTGTCTGGGATGCCAGAGTGCAAGGAGGATCATAGGTCTCGTGCTTTGTGCAAATACAATGAATTCTGAAAGATATGTAGACCAGTAGATTAAGTAGACCAGTGATTTTTACTGTATGAAGTTATTGCCACTGTAATTAGTATTGTAAAGCATTTAGTAGCTTACATAAAATTTAAGGTTTTCACGGTTTTATGTGTTCAAATTGTTATCTTCCTGGTTGCCACACCGTGTAATCTAGTGGGTGGACACCAACATTTCAAAGAAACTACTGCCTCCATCATTAAGGCAAAAACGATTTTAGCAGCCTTTTACATAGTTGGAACCAAGACTAACAAATAGCCAAAACATGTTTTATTGAAACATTCAAATAAAGAGAAGATGTTATATTTTATGGTACTGAACAATTTATCAGATTGAAATTCAATAATAATAGAATCTAACATCAAAATAAAAATTCTTGAAACACCAACTCAATCAATAATTTATTTTTCTGTCCACTCATTCACTCATCTCTTCACCCATTCACTCTTCTACCCACTCACCTGTCTGTTTGCTCATCCACACACTTCCTCAAAAACCTCTCACTCACTTGTGAAATATTTGCCCACACACTCATAGTTTAACCACTTACTCACACACACATAGTAACTCATTCACTCAATCAGTCACTCACCAGCTGACTCAATTACGTATAAATTCACACACCCGTCTGTTCACTTGCTTGGTCATTCAACCACCCAGACACCCACCCAAACAGTACCACACGATACCTGTGATATGTATGCAGAGACATTTAAATAGTTCCTTGTGACAGTGACTACTGGGTATCCTGTCTGTAGGGTCCATGTGTCCATGATCTCCTTCACTGTCATATGTAAAGGGAGAGAACCATCTTGGTGAGCCTGCAATGTCAGCTGTTGCCACAGGTCATCCTGACGAGCATTGCTAAACTTGTGGACTTCCAGGTAGTTTGTGAGTCCACGCTTGAAGGTCTCCTCCCCCAGGAAGTGGTTCATCATACGAATCACTGATGCACCTGTTACACCAAAGATTTCTTCCTGTTTATATTTCATCTGGGGGATTATTTTTTTACTCAAGTTAAAATGTTATCATCTGCTTGGATTGTGTCTAAATATATTTTCTTCTGCTGCCACCTCAAACTTTGTCTGCCAACACTGTCCCCCCCCCCGCCTCCAGGAACTTTTCATATAGGCATACCTTTACAATATGACACTCTGTCAAAAATCTCTCGTATCTGGTCTGTGTGCTGAACAGGCACTGAGATGGGATGTGAAGACTCAAGGGCATCCAACATCAACACTTCCTGAAGGTGATCTCTGATGAACTGATCTTTGTTCCTCCAGCTTGGCTCAACCTGTAAGTTCCCCACAACTTACTGCTTGTAACAGTTCTTGCTTATTTCATGTAGGGCTCTCATTACTGTGAAACTTAAAACTGAGACATATTTGGGGGGGTTATCAAAATAGTATCAAATATTAGAATATAAACACAAAACATCCTTACAGGCAAAGAACTTAATAAAACTGAACACAATTAATAAATTCACTCATTTATTAATGAAATATACTGCAGGTGAACTGAAACTGTGATAACCAAAAATTTTCAGATATTTTACAAAAACTGGAGACTGAAGTTTCTTCCTTCTTTCCTCTATTGTTCTTTTTGATTGTCCATTTTTAACCTTATTCTTCACTTCATAGCATATCCAATCAAGCCTGTACTGACTTGACGTGCTCATTTGATCTCATTCCATGTTCACGCTCATTAAAACACACATCGTCATCTCTGTTAGCCTCAGAACAAAACTGAGATAGAAACTACAGTAGCGATCTATCTACTTTTGTGAACTCACATGATGTAGTCCTTGATAACCAATAAATGTGGCAAAGCCCTCCTTCAGCCACAGATCATTCCACCACCATGGTGTGACAAGATTCCCAAACCACTGGTGAGCCAGTTCATGGCTGACAACCTCAGCCACTCGCTCCTTGTTCACCTCAGTAGATATGTTAGCATCATACAGCAAAGCTGATTCTCTGTATATATGATATAACAAAAGAATAAAACAGCTGCTTAATTAATAACTTTTCTAACAACGATCTATTTACTGTAAATATTATTTCATATTATTTTATTTAAGTATATTTCATTATATTACTGTGCAATTTATATCTAAATATGTGACAAC